TTTGGGCAAACAACAACAAGAATTATCAAAGGTTAAAGTTCAAAATAAGCAATTTTTGAAATCAAGATTTCTCAAAAACGAATGAACGGATTTGATCTCATTTAATAGCAAATTTGATTCCCTTTAATTTGCTATACGTACTTTATATATATGTTGTATAGTTCTTACAAAAATTGAATTAAAGTAAAATAATTATAAAAAAAAGCTTACAAACCCTAAGTGCGGCCGACGCCGCCTACGCAGAAAGGTGTTCTCTCCAAAAGGTGTTCAGTGCCTTTTCTTCACAACACAGAAAGATAATTCTACGTTGTGAGGGTTATAATCCCTAAGGGCGGCCGCAGGCCGCCTACGCAGAAAGGTGTTCTCTGCAAAAGGTGTTCAGTGCCTTTTCTTCGCAACACAGAAAGAGAGGTTATAATCCCTAAGTGCGGCCGAAGGCCGCCTACGCAGAAAGGTGTTCTCTGCAAAAGGTGTTTTTTTACAATTATTTTACATTCATTCAATTTTTGTAAGAACTATACAACATATATATAAAGTACGTATAGCAAATTAAAGGGAATCAAATTTGCTATTAAATGAGATCAAATCCATTCATTCGTTTTTAAGAAATCTTGATTTCAAAAATTGCTTATTTTGAACTTTAACCTTTGATAATTCTTGTTGTTGTTGTTTGCCCAAAAAAGAAGTATACCGTTAAGCAGTGTTAGCATTGTTCAACATTTACGTTCAACTCAACGCAGGGATGCACGAAAAAAAAGTTGAATGGCTAAATGTTGGCTGGCAACCAACTTTGTTGAAAGCTTTTAGTTGAAACGCCGTTCAACCAGAAGTTGAATGCAAAGTTGAACAATGCAAACACCTTTTTATGGCGAATATTTAGATATTATTTCATATTTTGATATTTTTAGCTATTCAACCTTTTTTCGTGCAACCCTGCGCTGAGTTGAACGCAAATGTTGAACGAAAAGTTGAACAATGCAAACACACTTTTACGTTCAACTCAACGCAGGGATGCACGAAAAAAAAGTTGAATGGCTAAATGTTGCCTGGCAACCAACATTGTTGAAAGCTTTTAGTTGAAACGCCGTTCAACCAGAAGTTGAATGCAAAGTTGAACAATGCAAACACCTTTTTATGGCGAATATTTTGAGAATAGGACCCCCTGATTTCAAAAATACGCCCAATTTTTCTAGCAACCCTTACTTAGGGATTATAACCCTCAGGCAGTAGAATTCTCCTTTCTGTTTTGCGAAGAAAAGGAGCTGAACACCTTTTGCAGAGAACACCTTTCTACGTAGGCGGCCTTCGGCCGCACTTAGGGATTATAACCCTCCGGCAGTAGAATTCTCCTTTCTGTTTTGCGAAGAAAAGGAGCTGAACACCTTTTGCAGAGAACACCTTTCTGCGTAGGCGGCCTTCGACCGAACTTAAAGCAAACAAATCGGGCGGGACCAACACCGCCTACGTCACACAGTGTAACATTTGACCCATCTAGCTGCTTTTAATTCTGTAATTCGAAATCTATTGAAGATAGATTAATGAAATTTTTTGCACAAGGTACGTTATAAGATAGGCGAAGCTTTTTACAAAAAATTGGTAATTTATAGTTACTGTCATGCCACCCTATTATATAACTGCAATTTTTAAAAATGCAAAAACTGAAATATTTAACTAACTACAAAGGCTAAAATGCCCAAAATTGATATTTAGAATTTCCCTATAACAAGGAATTATAAACTGACAGAAATGGACTTAAAAATAAATATATTTTTTTTTAGTTATGGGCGTGGAAAATATCGATAAAAAAATCAAGTTGGGTCAAAGAAATTCCGTTATAAGTTCAATATTTCTTACTCTATTTACAGAAATGGGATACCATTGGAAAGGTAATGAATCAGGCTTTCTCTGCTGAAAACGAATATATAAGAATTTGTCTCGGTCGAGAAAAAATGCAAGCGAATTACTCGAGGAAAATGAAATTCCCAGTAGGCCAGAAAAAAGAAAATTTCATCAAAACCTGCACTTTCCTGCAGCTAAAATTATGTTGTTTAGAGTTTAAGAGGAGTGGCAAATAAACTGAGATACAAACTTTATCGAATAGTGGCGGATAACGAGTTTGCGGGTCTAATGAAATTAATAAATTGCTAAAAATAAGTTTAAGTTAACATCGTTTTGCTTTAACATGAAATACTCAGTCCTAGTTTACTAAAATCCCAAAAATGTATATTCATTAAAAAGAACATACCCAAGCAAATAAGACCAAAATGGTATTTTAGTAATTGTTGCATAAATCACATAACACCGACAAAATAAGCATTGAGATTCAGTTTCAAATATACAAGTTTAAATATTATTGTGCTCGGTAATTTTCCAAACCAAACCCCGTCCCGCCATAAACTTTGATTAAAATTTTTTAGTTGTTATTGTTTCGTCTTTATCAGGCATTTCTGAAAACATTCTTGACGTTGTTTTCAAATTTGGCGACATAAAATAATGGAATTAATCTTTTCTAGAATACTGAAATGATACACTGTGCGTCATGGGCAATATTTTTGCACAGGGGTTCGTGACCGGAAACCCTCATTGATAATAATACACGCCCAGAATAAAAGTAGCGGTAAATTTTCATTTTCTTTTGTATTCCTTTTTAAACATTTCCTTCTTTGTATGTATTGTTTTGTACAATATGGCAACACATGTTATGTGTCAGTTTGCAACCATGTGTTATTGTAAATATGGGTGCAATTCAATGTAATTTACAAGTCGATAGAAGTTGAATTAAAGTGATTTATATACAAGATAAAATAAAATAAGTGTGTAAAGTATTATTATTATTATTATTATTATGATTTATTAACAAAATTAAATAAATTAACCTCATTTAATTTTAGTATAATAAAGTGCACGCTTGAATAGCTAGAGAACCTCTTTGTTTTTTGACAATTTCTTATACGCAGTTTCTTCCATACAAAAAAAAAATGTCGCACATAATTTGCATGGAAGAAACTGCGTGAAAAAATTGCCAAAAATCAACGCGGTTTTCTGGCAACTTCAAGCTTGCACTATGTTATACTAAAATATAATGGGATTTAAAACTGCATACTTAGAATTTTTCTCAAAAATCTGATTTGAAAGTAGATCTTCATACTAACTGTATTTAAAAAAAATAATGTGCGAAAAGAAATTCAAGTAAAAAACTTTGCATACATTGCGAAAAATTCTCTGTGCCAATACTTTGATCCGGCACTACAAATATTTATTAATTATAATTCCATTCAATAAAAGAACTACAATAATTTCAAGTAATTAATTGCCTTTATTTTTAGCATTCAAAAACAGTAGATAAAGCAGTGTTGAAAAACGCTTTTTAACGTAAATTAATCGTTTACGAGACTCGTTTACAATTAAAAAACGGACTTAAAAATATTCGCATACGAATGCTTTTTCGATCCGTTTACGACTGTTCGTAGGCGATGCACAATTTAAAGCGAAAAAGTGCTCGAAAAAGAGTCGTAAACGGCTATCATAAACGATTTTTAACCAGGTTTTTCTTCGAGAAAATATCCAATTACGAGCTTGTTTACGATGATTTTGCTGGCTGGGCTGTACTACGTAGAATTCTCCTTTCTGTGTTGCCAAAGAAGAGGGGCTCAGCACCTTTTGCAGAGAACACATTTCTGCGTAGGCGGCCTTCGGCCGCACTTAGGGATTATAACCCTCACTATGTAGAATTCTCCTTTCTGTGTTGCCAAAGAAGAGGGGCTGAACACCTTTTGCAGAGAACACCTTTCTGCGTAGGCGGCGTTCGGCCGCACTTAGGGATTATAACCTTCACTACGTAGAATTCTCCTTTCTGTGTTGCCGAAAAAAGGGGGCGGAACAACTTTTGCAGAGAACAGCTTTCTGCGTAGGCGGCCTGCGGCCGCACTTAGGGATTATAACCCCCACTACGTAGAGTTCTTTCTATTGTATTGTTTTGTACGGTATGGCAAAACATCTTATGTGTCAGTTTGCAACCATGTGTTATTGTATCATGATTGTAAATATGGGTGCAATGTAATGTAATTACAAGTTAATAAAAGTTGGATTTAAGTGATTTATATACAGATAAAATAAAATAAAAGTGCCTAAACTATTAGGTAGTGTTATGTGCATTTATATATATGAAAGTATGTTACAAATGTGGTTTTGGTTAAGGAAACCAAGTGGAACGACTTAAAAAATTTTAACAACAAATAACTTATAAACAATGATATTGTTTATATTTTTTAGTTATACATGTTTTAGAGGATACCTCCTTAACATCCTGACCGAGTTTCATTTGTTAATTCCACCTGGTTTTCTTAAAACACAAGGTGCGGCTGACTACTAAAGCCCACCCAACGCAACTATTATTGAATCATGGTTATGTACATTCACATTTACTGATCTTTGCTTACCAAAGGTGTTGAACGTTTTGGATGTACATCATTAGTATCAAATTGTACCGTATATAAATTCGGTAGGCCGTCGTATTGGGTGATGAGTACCATACATTTGTTTGTAAAATAATGAACCACAACCTTTGTCAAAAATCTATTGATTTCGCAGTTAAACTGCGTCTGGAAACCTAAACCGGTACTTCTTCCGTAAAAGTCTTCCATATTTATATTGCCTTGTTTAATGGTACAGGGTAGAGGTGAAACGATAAGCGTAAATACAAATACATACTCGATACTTTAAGAACGACCCCAAGTAATTTTGGTATTGATACTTTTGAACCAAGTACCGAGTAGGTATCCGTTAAGGCTGATAGGGCATTCGCACGCGGCGATTTTTCAGGCAACTTTTAGTTGAAAGCATAAAACTTTCTCATGAATACCATAAAATCATTGGTCTTGAAGGGAATGTACTAAGAAAATATATGAGCGAATTAAAAAGTGTATACAATTTATAGCCGAAAAGTACATTTTTTGTATAGATTTCGTACTGAAGGAATTATTTCATATCCCAACACTGATACAGAATGTAAACAAACACAGGGTTGCAAGGAAAAAAAGTTGAACGAGCTCAAAGTTGGCTGGCGCCAACTTTGTTGAAAGCGATTAGTTGAAAGGCCGTTCGGACGAGGAGATTTTT